GGGGGGGGGCAGGATCTTTCCATTTGAAGCTCTTGTTTTAGGAGAATTCTGTGTTCATTTTCTTTATGGTTGCTTTCTGCCTTATTGGTTCTTGCTCTCCAGCTAACAGGGAGAGTAGAAAGAGGTTCAGTGCCCACAAACACCATGTGAGAATGTCCCCATACAACCTATCTCCACATGCCCATCTCATCTTCAGACAAAGCAGGCCTACAATTTCCAAAGAAGAAATTTAGCTCCGAGGTGGGGAGGGCTCTCATCAGATTTGTATGACACTAGGGACTAGTTCAAAATTCCCACAGCTTTCACACCATCAAAAACCAGATGTACTTAGGAAGAGAGCAAAATCCAGGCCCAGCAGACGTGTCAGGCAACCCTTTGGCGATGGAGGAAATCTTTGCACAGGATACCCCTGAGCCCTTCTCTGCTGGACACAGAGGAAAGCTGTCCACCTTCAACACCAAGTCTTGTAACAATTCTGTGGTGAAACCATACGCAGCAAGTTGCCTGAGATTGTTGTTCCCATCTGGGGACGAAAAGAGTTGGTAGTTTGCCAAGTTTGATAGAAGCAGGAGTAGCAACAGTACATTAAATATTTCAGATGTGTTATCAGTTCTCCAGGTCTTCCTCTTGGCATATCGCAGTACAACTCGCTCAAGAGTACCCAGGCGCCCAAAAGTCACGGGTGAGTCCCCCAAATGCAGCAAGTTTTCAAAGCAATCCGTTTGGGGTTCCCTGCAATTGTCTCCTGCCTTACACAGGAGCTCTTTTCAAAACCAACTTGCTAGTCAGCCATCTTTTACTGCCCTCCGTGAGTCTGCTCTGTTTCAAAGAGATTTTGCTTTCACTTAAGTCAAAACGATTCAGTAGTTTCCGGAATGTAGAAAGGGAAGCAACATTTCCCCCTGGGGCGTGCCTGACCCTCCTTCCAGAGCCCCAGCCTGTCTGCAGGCAGAACTGCAAGTCAGCCGCGGGGCTGCGACCGATGCGTCACGCGTGGGACAGATGCTTCTGGTTCTGTGCTGTGACGTTCTGGGGGCTCACCACCATTCCCTGCGTTAAGTGCATTCATGCATAGCATAACCCAGGGGTCAGCAGCCTCACAGAGAACACTTTTTTTCCCCGAACTAGTAGGAACTCAGCAGAAGCCAGGAGCTCCTATGCCTTGCAAAGGCAAGATACCACCCACTTATCTGTGTGATGGTACAAAGAAAAAGACAGGACAGTTCTTTATCTGTCCAAGCCAGCGAAATAAAAACCCTGCTGTCTGCCCATCATCTTGTGCCACGTGATCACAGCACAGGCTGCTAACCCCTGGGCTAGGCGATGGTACAGACTGGATAAGTAACCAGATTAGAGAGCCATGCATGGATTTACCTGGCTGAAACTGGCCTGAGACATTTCATTTCCCATGGGTCAGATGGCAGCCATCACATCTCAGCCACTACCAACCTGGACCAGAGAGGGAAGGACGACTCAGAAACAACAGGCTCTGCTGCGGGGTGCGCAGTGCTGGGCCCAGGCCACCCCCGGGGCAGGAGCAGAGATGCTGCGGGCTTCTCTGGGCTCAGCCAGACCAAGCACCTCCCAGCAGGAGATACAGGCGTCTCACACCTACCAGGAGAGGGGCACAGGCCACACGCGTCTCTGGAGAGACGACTTCCCTCAGACACCGCACAGACTCCTACGGCAGCGGGACTGGGAAGGAAACTCTGCCCTGGCAGCCTGACCCTCACGTCCCAAAGACTCACCCAGGAGCAGCGCAACACCTTCAGGCTGCTGACAAAGGGACGGAGGCATCCGCGGGCTTGCTGCCAAGATACAGCGCAGGAAGGGCGGGAAGCGAAGGGCAGCATCGGCCTCCACCGATGGCAGGCTCCGACGAGGCTGTGGTGTCAGCCTCTCCGTGCCAGGGCTGCCCCGGCTCCAGGACTCCTACCCCCCCCACCAGCTAGCTGCGCCTGCAACCCCCCTGACACCCCCAAGCCTAGAAAATACCACTTACGAGGCTTTTGAACAAAAAGCACACAAAGCTTTTCTCTTCATCCTCTCTTCTTTCACCTTACCATTTCTTCCTCTTCTGCTCTCGCCCTTTGCCAGGCACGAGCACTGACGGGATGGTGAACAACGCAGAGCAGCCGCGGACCACAGCAGAGGGCTTACTGGGGCTGGTTCCGCGCCATCAGGCTGGTGGCCCTGGGAGCAGAGACCCCGCAGAGCAGGGCTGAGCGGGCACAGACCTCCTCCAGCCCCCGCAGGTCATCTCCCAACAGGGGCCAGGTGGGGAAGCAGAACCCCCAGGAGAAAGCAATCCCAACGTCAGGTTTTGAGAGCAGGCACGAGGGAATAGGGAGGTTTTAAGCTACGTGCCTGATCCCTAGGACACCGAAGGGGAGCTTATTTTATATTCCGTGCTAAAAAGGCTCACTCACTCTCCAGGAACTCCATCCGGGTCTCTCCGGTGCCGACGCAGACGGCGTGGAAGCCCTCGGTGGGAGCCAGGCCGCGCCCGACGTGCTCGGCGGCCAGGGAGCGGAGCAC